CCGAGACTTAGGGTGGTTCTCACATTTCGGATAAGGAATTCGAGATCGAAGGGTACGACGTCTTGTGAAAGGATAGACTCGGCAGAAGGGGGGGAAGGAGTTGTGCTGTAATGAGACACTGTATGAAAACTCATGATAGTTGGCTTAATTCGCCTTTGACCACTAGAGAAGCCCCACAAGTGAATCGAAATCAATAGGAGAAACCAAGGGCAGAGTCCAATTCCTAAGAATTTCGTTATGAAATCATACATAATGAATACTTACTTTTCACTGCGCTCCTCGAAAAATGTTTAATATACCTTAGTAACGACGTGCATGTGTTCCAATTAATTGTAATCTTAAGAAAGGATGACTCATCGTCGAAAAGGTCACCTTCCAGTCGGTAATAGTAGCTACATAATCATGCATGTTGCGGAATGGTGGGGGCGGAAGGCATGTAGATGATAAATCGACGAGGCAAGACGACAATGGTGACGCGGTCCGTCGTCCGCATCGGTCGAGCGAGAGTTCATCATACTGTCGTGCAGAGAGGTTCACATCAGTATTGGCCGCCATTTGGTCTGTGCGTGTTTCTTCATGTTTATGGGTGTTTCTCCTAAGGTTCTCATGTCCACCTTTAACGGAAGTTCAGGCGAATCCTCCTAGCTTGCTCTTGTAAGACTAAGTGTGAACTCGAAGAGGTTACCTAGCGGTTGCCAAGGTTTACGTCCAAATACCTGTACACCATCAACTCAATTGTAAGGTTGACGATAGGTCTATGTCATCTGCCTGCGTGTTCATTTCGATAGTCATAAGTTCCAGTGCTGGTCTCAAACTGGATGTGCCTCCAATGTTATCAGGTCTTTGTATCCTCTCATTGAGTGAAGATTGTACATTTTGAAATCCGCTTTCAGGACATATCTATTTTTTAATGAGATTGTTTTCTACCTCGCTAATTATTTTTTTAGCCCATTTATACATTAAGAATTTATTTTTCAACAAAGTGTAATGTTGCAGTGGCTCTTCATCATCTTCTTGCATCATTGTCCACGGACGGTGAAGTATTTCCATGTGAGACACATGTGATTGGAATATGGAATTTTCGTGAAGCTAACATATAGCCGTGTAGAAGTTGGTATTTTAAATCTGCAGGGTTTGGGAATTCTCATGGAAAGGACTTTTAAAAGAAATTAACAGGGATGTCCATGGAGCCACGAACTATTGCTACCAATTAATGAAAGAATAAATAGAACCCGAAATATATATTTCTATTTAAAACTACTGCATTCTACTGCAAATAACAGCCAAGGGGAACACATTTCATTCTCCTTGCATTTTCCAGGTAAAATGTTTACACTCTTTAATTTTCATGGAAATGGCCTATCTTTAATTCAGAGCGTCTTTCATTGCTTCCCTTACTAGTGCATGGCTAATAATGGCAGCAGTAACAGGCATGAGTCATCTGCTAAAAGACGTCAGATTGTGTTCACTTCCTCCTCCTGAGATCGCATTTCAGAATGTCGTTCATTGCCATCCTTGGAGATAGTGCCTCGAGTCACCAGGATGTCCCTTTAATGGTCCGTGCCACCAAGTGACTCCGTACCAATGCATTTACATTACTGCAGGGGGCCAGTTTGCATTGCTCTGAAAAAAAATAAACTACCCTAGTAACACATAATATTGAATGAACATTGACTTAATATTGGTTGAACGTCCAGATGTAGAATCAACGTTGAATCAATGTTGTTTCTATGCTACGTGCTACTATGGTATGTACCTACTGCTTGGTTTGATGAATACCGCAACAACTGTGTCTATCACTTCAAGTTGGCAAAACGCCAAATACTTTATATGTGAAACGATTCACTTGGGTAGGTCTCCTTATCTGAAATAATCTATATACTTTTTTTACATCCTTGCTGAGCTTTTCTCACTGTTTTGCCTCAATACTTTGCCCCTTCCTACCACAATCTGAGCCCAATGAAATTTTTGCATGAGCTGCATGAGTACTGTATGCATTTCCACCATAGGTACAAAAAGTGAAAAAATTACTTCGGGATTCATTAGAAAATCTTATGTGAGATGTGTAATTTTTAGCAATGAAAGTCATTTCATTTGTCTCACTACTTAACATTCACGGATTTTGAAGGTTCGTTCACCAGCCATCAGAAACAGAAATACCTAAACGGAGATGTCTAATCCAAGCGAACTCATTTTGACCATTTAATTAAGTTTAATAGAATCATGACATATATTTTCGTTGAAACAGGTTTCTTCATCATTCTGACTTGAATCCAATACGACAGATTCTGACTATTGTGAATCGCATATATAGCCTTCCTTCCATTTTTGATTTCAGAGTGACGATGCCACCGTATACCATCTTCATCCTGCCTCTACTTTCCTTGGTGCATGGTGTTTCCAAGTCGGCATGTCCCACAAGGTCAATATTGTATTGCAATTGCTATAGTGGTTTTTATGAAAATTATCATGATGGCAAAGTGCAAGTAGATTGTTCCAAAGCTGGATCGGATGAGGAAATAGCAGTGTCGTTGAAGAATATATCGTGGCCCTCAACTGAAATCTGGTGAGAGAAAGATTTTTGCTCGATATTCTCTGCGAGGTTTCATTTTAAATAAGGGAGTTTGAAGATGACAGAACAATTATGATTTTCGACTGACTTTAAAGAAATGGATATATGTCAAATACAAAGTGCACTCTCCATGTAATGAACTGGACCAACTCATCCATATCTAACATATATAAACGATCGTGACTGCCAGACTAACTGACTGACTGAAGCTAATTCTAACCGTATTCTAGAAAGGTTAGAAATCTGAAACTTGGTACACATATACCTTTTGGGATGCAAAGTTCAGAAAAAATCCGACATTGGAGGTACATGCCCTTGAGGGTACACATTTCGGAGGGAGAGGTTTTTAAAGATATATGTATTGTGACGGATTAGGATGGCATCGAGAGGCTTCATTCCATGGCCTTGCTTCGGTGGTGTTGTGGTGGCACACCTGACCGCTAAGCAAGAAGCCCCGTGTTCAATTCCCGGCCATTCCTTGGCTTTCTTTCGACCTCTTATGCCGTCTATGTCGCATTATTCACTTCCCTCCATAACAATTATTTTGCTTCGGTAAAATTGAGGACCATGAAAAGCTGAAACTCTGCATGGACATGCCTACTGAGATGCTCAGTTCATGAAAAAATGTCAATTTTAGTGGTGGCATGCAAGAGGTATATTTTTTGAGCCATTAATATTTTTTTCTCCTTCCGAACGGGGGAGAGATGAAGAGGTGAAACTTGATACATGAGTACCTATTGGAAATATGAATTTAAAAAATTCAGACATTGGTGGAAAAGGCCTTAGGAATAATCTAAATAATTGCGGAATTATAAATAATAGAGGGAAATCCCCCAGAATAAAAATAACTCTCCTTGAAACAATTTCAGGGAAATATTTTTTTTTCAAAATTGTTCGTTGCAGTAAAGCGAATAAACATGGAAAGATGAAGCTTGACATGGCCGATTGAGACTCTGAGTTGAGGATGAAATTCCCCGCCTCAGATGGATGCCATTTTCAGATGGATGTAAATTTGTGTCGGGTCACGTTTTCGAAAATCATTTTTTCCCACATTGGGAAGAAATAGAAAACTGAAATTTGGCCAACGGGTAAGACTGAACCTTCGTATGCATGTAGTTATCCCAGTGCTGATTTCAGCAAATATGCCAATTAGCATGTAAACCCCCAGAGAATATATTATTTCCAAAAGGCGCATTTTCCGGAATCCTTTCTGAGCAAATGAAAAAGAGATCTAAAGAACGTTGAAACTTGCAGCAGAAATACCTGTTGGATTGCTGACTACATATTTTAACTTTCAAATATGATTCCTCAAGGCAGGTTATGGAGAGATTTGAAATTAGGCACGCAAATAATAAACGAAGTAATCATTTCGATGAAAATATCGGATTGTTAAAAAATAAGTCACTGACCTGGGCAATGGAACGCCGGAGGCGCGTCCACAGAGAGTTTGTTTGCTGGAAATGGCAAACAAACTCGCTAGTTAAGCAATTTATCTAAGAATATTTTGCAGCGAAAAATTATGGGAGTGGTTTCCAATAATAGATCCTTTGCGAACATTATTTTCTTAAATAAACCATGTAAAACTATGAAAATCAACTCTCTTTAACATGGAAGTACAAGCTTTTATTTCACCATTTTAACATTTGTAACAATTATTTTCCCTAAAAAATGATCCAATTCCGAAAGTGGAGGTTTTGGAGACTTGATACAGGCAACTGGGCCAAGGAGGCCGTGTGACGTTGCACACACCCATTAGGGAATGGTGAGGCCTATGCGTGAAAGACTACCGTGTGGAACTAAGAATGACGTTTTCTCTCCTTGCTGCTTTCAAGACAAATTGGCAACAACTAAACTACGAGGGTTGTTTACAAAGTTCTCGAAAGTTGTTCTATCACTGCAACGGCTGATCAAAGCCTATCGCAAAGTTGGTCGCACGTGCTTATGCTAGTCATAAACACGACAGCAAAGTATTATCCACTGGGCATGCGTCGATAAGAAGTTGTCTGTGTTCGCGCAGGGTGCACTTTGTCATGGGAGACGCGGGAAATTCTCAAAGAGCTATAATTTTCTTTTCATGGAAGGAAGTTGTCATGACGTCAAAAACTATTCAACGTGTGAAAGCTGTTTTTGGGGAATCTTCTAAATCTAAAGTACCGTCAATCGCTGGATTGATCGCTTTAAGATTGGAAGAACGAGCTTTGAAGATGACCCCTCAATGGTGGACCAAACATTACTGTTACAGAAGAAAATGTCGTCGCTGTGGAGAAAACGTTAATGGAAGACAGACGAATCACCATTCGCGTGATTGCAACAAGTGTATGCATCAGTTCCCGAAAGGTTCATTAAATTTTAAATGATCGTCTTGGAGTGAGCAGGGTTTCTGCACAATGGATACCACGGCTGTTGGGGCTAGAAAATAATTTCAAACATGTGCAGGTTTGTTACTAGTTGTTGGCTCTACAGGAACAATATGTGTATAGTTTCCGGCAACGAATCATCTCCACAGATGAGACCTGGATACCTTACCTTAATCCGCAAAAATATTTAGTCCATGGATTGGCGGCGACATTCTGATGGCCCTCCAGTTGAAGCAAGGACTATGCCATTAGTTGGTAAAGTTATGATAACGGAGTATTGGGTTTTCCAGGAAATAATCATGATTGATTATGTACAAAAGCTCCCACAATAAATGCACAATATTACTATGATTAACTGAAGGGACCCCTGCGTGAGGTACTCAAGAAAAAACGGCCGGAAAAGCTCCATTCCCGACCATTACTGCAGCAAAACGATGCAAGTCGCACAATGCTCATCTTACGAAGGCCGTTTTGTCAGATCTGCTCAGGGAATTGTTGCCACTCCCACCCTATTCTCCAGACCTGGCTCCCAGCGTCTATCATCTGTTTGGGGAAGTGAAGAAACCTTTTCTAGGAATTGATTTTGAGTTTCTATATGTTGTTAAAGCAGCGACGAATGGAACTAGATAGAATGTACTCCTCAAAAGTTATTTGAGGATGGGACTAAAAAAATTAGTTACTCGCTGGTACAAATGTATGCAGCTAAATGATGATTATGTTGAGATATTACACCATGATATCAAAGAAAATCCACCTAATAAAAAATTAGCACGGAAATTTCCAGAACTTTGTAAACCTTTGTGACCACCCTTCGTATATCTTATACACACTAAAAAATCACTAGGACATTAGTTCTCTCTCATAACCCATGAACGCGGTCATTAAAGAATCTTCTTTTATCTATTTCCAGGGAATTCAAGATATACAAGAACTCCAGAGTTTTCAAGCTCCCTGTAGGAATTCTAGGGGACCTAACCCTGCAGTCCATATGGATAGGCATCACTACTGTCAGAAGTATCCATCCGTTGGTCATCCTCCCTTCCGAGGATCGTCTTATCAATTTCACTTTACAGGACAGTCGCCTGGAAGAGTTTCCTTTCCATATCATCCCAAGATTACGGAGTCTTGAGAATCTCTGGCTCCGGAACAATTCCTTGACCTCAGTTCCAAGTCTCCGTAGCGAGAGCCTTCAAGCAGTGAACTTGGATTATAATCAGATTGCTACTTTTGAGGAAGGTAGATGGGTGACTCCTGAGTTGCGGGTACTTGACATCAGTAAGTACCAGTAAATGATTTTTTCAATGCTTACTCCATCAATGTTTGCGATTTCTTCAGCCGATCTACCAAGAAGTATTATTTTCAAAAGATTTAAAGAACGTTCGATATACAGCGAATAAGACAGTGACTGAAAGAACTTGAATTTCGTCTCATCAAACAAGCAGAAGACATTTTCTTCTCGCATAACTAGGAGCAAGGATTCAAAACCTTACTGTATCAAACCCATTTCCCCTTAATGGCCACGATATTTTTGGGATAGGCCATCAAGGGCTTGGTGTAGGAAACGTGACGTGACGAAAGAAGTTATATATATTCTAATTAAGCTTAAACTATGAAGGCTGCTGAAATCATTCCTATTTTCCTTGCACAACAAAAGTGTTTCGCTGGGACGGTCTTGACGGAACATGATCATCATGTAGTGTTTCCCAAATTAATCTTTTTTTATTGCTGCATGACATGACTACCGGAGTGTGGTGAATGTATTTGGCACTTGCACAACAAAAGTGTTTCGCTGGGACGGTCTTGACGGAACATGATCATCATGTAGTGTTTCCCAAATTAATCTTTTTTTATTGCTGCATGACATGACTACCGGAGTGTGGTGAATGTATTTGGCACTTATCTAATTAATATAGGTTATTCAAAGAAAGGACAGACTCACTTGAAACAACTTCACCGTGTCAGCATTGTTCACATATTAAGAAAACAACGCTTCAGTATGGCATCGATCCTTGAACATTGATTCAATGTTTGAATATCGTTGATGCAAACGTTCATTCAATTATTGATGAAAATTAACTTCCAACATAAAATCAAAAAACACGCCAATGTGGATTCAACGTTTTCGCTGCCCTAACGCAATAACGATGAATCAATATATTGGTTCACCGTGAGTGTGCTACTTGAGTCAGTGTGACAGTAGTCATATTCATGCCAAGTTGGAGATGACCATATCTCTCTCCGCTGACTGAAACAATTGTATTGCTTTGAAAACGTTTGTGCCCTTAGGGCATGTACTCGAAACACATTTTTTCTAAACTCTGCTTCCCAATCAATCTTCAGATTTCTAACTTCTCTAGAACATATAATTAGCGTCACTCACTCAGTCACTCCCGATCTCTGGAGGAAGGAGAACAACCATGAGAAAGATATTGACTGATACGTGTCAAAAAGTGGTATTCTTGTTGTTGCGATGCGCCATTTCGCGATTTTAAATGATATTAGTTTTCGTTCATTTATGCTTAGAGCGATGGCTTTGTTATATTAGTTATTTTTCCTAATCTCATACAGGTTACAATCCGCTATCAAGTTTCCCGTCTGCAGTGATCAAGGATATGCAGAAACTAGAGAAATTCTATTGTTCCGGATGCAATCTGGGACCCACTCTTTTAATGGGGCAGTTGGAATTCCGCAGCAAGACCTTGAAGCTGGTGTCACTCAGGGAGAACAGCATCTCACGACTTGAACCGGCAGCCATTGGAGGTATACTGGCTAGTCAAATTTCACATTCAAGATGATAACTGGAGTGTTTGTAATACCTTGACAAAGAGTGAATGTTATGCTTAGGGTGTCCTACATATTGTATTCATCCCAGGTATCAATGCTGATACGACTGTAGACCTCACCTGGAACAACATTACCATATTGGATGAGAATGCCTTCCGACCCATCCTGGAGATCATGTCCCTGGGAGATGGATTGCTCCTTATAGATTGTGAGTTTTATTGCTTCTCAAACGATTGAGCAACTTTCCCGATCCATCACCTTCCTATCATACCATTGCCCATATGGGCTCTTATTTTCTCCAGACAATCCCATCCACTGTGATTGTACTTTGGATTGGCTGGCACTCGCTCCTGCATTGATGAAAAAATTGAAGGGGACGTGTACCAATGGGACTGATTTGAGAGATCTGAATCTATTGGATTTTCAGAGACCATGCTGCCTGTATCCTAACACGTGTGTCAACGCCAAATTAGAGTTTCTCTGTATACCGNATGCATTTACATTACTGCAGGGGGCCAGTTTGCATTGCTGTGAAAAAAAAATAAACTACCCTAGTAACACATAATATTGAATGAACATTGACTTAATATTGGTTGAACGTCCAGATGTAGAATCAACGTTGAATCAATGTTGTTTCTATGCTACGTGCTACTATGGTATGTACGTACTGCTTGGTTTGATGAATACCGCAACAACTGTGTCTACCACTTCAAGTTGGCAAAACGCCAAATACTTTATATGTGACACGATTCACTTGGGTAGGTCTCCTTATCTGAAATAATCTATATACTTTTATTACATCCTTGCTGAGCTTTTCTCACTGTTTTGCCTCAATACTTTGCCCCTTCCTACCACAATCTGAGCCCAATGAAATTTTTGCATGAGCTGCATGAGTACTGTATGCATTTCCACCATAGGTACAAAAAGTGAAAAAATTACTTCGGGATTCATTAGAAAATCTTATGTGAGATGGGTAATTTTCAGCAATGAAAGTCATTTCATTTGTCTCACTAATTAACATTCACGGATTTTGAAGGTTCGTTCACCAGCCATCAGAAACAGAAATACCTAAACGGAGATGTCTAATCCAAGCGAACTCATTTTAACCATTTAATTAAGTTTAATAGAATCATGACATATATTTTCGTTGAAACAGGTTTCTTCATCATTCTGACTTGAATCCAATAACGACAGATTCTGACTATTGTGAATCGCATATATAGCCTTCCTTCCATTTTTGATTTCAGAGTGACGATGCCACCGTACACCATCTTCATCCTGCCTCTACTTTCCTTGGTGCACGGTGTTTCCAAGTCGGCATGTCCCACAAGGTCAATATTGTATTGCAATTGCTACAGTGGTTTTTATGAAAATTATCATGATGGCAAAGTGCAAGTAGATTGTTCCAAAGCTGGATCGGATGAGGAAATAGCAGTTTCGTTGAAGAATATATCGTGGCCCTCAACTGAAATCTGGTGAGAGAAAGATTTTTGCTCGATATTCTCTGCGAGGTTTCATTTTAAATAAGGGAGTTTGAAGATGACAGAACAATCATGATTTTCGACTGACTTTAAAGAAATGGATATATGTCAAATACAAAGTGCACTCTCCATGTAATGAACTGGACCAACTCATCCATATCTAACATATATAAACGATCGTGACTGACAGACTAACTGACTGACTGAAGCTAATTCTAACCGTGTTCTAGAAAGGTTTGAAATCTGAAACTTGGTACACATATACCTTTTGGGATGCAAAGTTCAGAAAAAATCCGACATTGGAGGTACATGCCCTGAGGGTACACATTTCGGAGGGAGAGGTTTTTAAAGATATATATTGTGACGGATTACGATGGCATCGAGAGGCTTCACTCCATGACCTGGGTTCGGTGGTGTTGTGGTGGCACACCTGACCGCTAAGCAAGAAGTCCCGTGTTCAATTCCCGGCCATTCCTTGGCTTTCTTTCGACCTCTTATGCCGTCTATGTCGCATTATTCACTTCCCTCCATAACAATTATTTTGCTTCAGTAAAATTGAGGACCATGAAAAGCTGAAACTCTGCATGGACATGCCTACTGAGATGCTCAGTTCATGAAAAAATGTCAATTTTAGTGGTGGCATGCTAGAGGTATATTTTTTGGGCCATTAATATTTTTTTCTCCTTCCGAATGGGGGAGAGATGAAGAGGTGAAACTTGATACATGAGTACCTATTGGAAATATGAATTTAAAAAATTCAGACATTGGTGGAAAAGGCCTTAGGAATAATCTAAATAATTGCGGAATTATAAATAATAGAGGGAAATCCCCCAGAATAAAAATAACTCTCCTTGAAACAATTTCAGGGAAATACTTTTCTTTCAAAATTGTTTGTTGCAATAAAGCGAATAAACATGGAGAGATGAAGCTTGACATGGACGATTGAGACTCTGAGTTGAGGAATAATTCCCCGCTTCAGATGGATGCCATTTTCAGATGGATGTAAATTTGTGTCGGGTCACGTTTTCGAAAACCATTTTTTCCCACATTGGGAAGAAATAGAAAACTGAAATTTGGCCAACGGGTAAGACTGAACCTTCGTAAGCATGTAGTTATCCCAGTACTGATTTCAGCAAATATGTTAATTATCATGTAAACCCCCTGAGGATATATTATTTCCAAAAGGCGCATTTTCCGGAATCCTTTCTGAGCAAATGAAAAAGAGATCTAAAGAACGTTGAAACTTGCAGCAATTTATGGACAACCTAACGACTGATGTATAAAATTGAAAGTTTATACTAAGGAGTTCCGTCCAATACCTCTCTAAACTTTAATCCGTGCGTTTATTATTTGCTTCATTAGTAAAGCTACTTTTATAGCGATTGTTAAAAAATAAGTCACTGACCTGGGCAATGGAACGCCGGAGGCGCGTCCACAGAGAGTTTGTTTGCTGGAAATGGCAAACAAACTCGGATCAATTCGTTAAATAGATTCTTATAAAACGTCGCTTTTTAATACCCTCACCAAAGGTTATTATCTAGGAAACGCTTGTAATAAAAGAATTTATTTGGTACATTTTGATACTTTTAGTTGAGAGAAGAACATGGAAGTACAAACTTTTATTTCACCATTTTAACATTTGTAACAATTATTTTCCCTAAAAAATGATCCAATTCCGAAAGTGGAGGTTTTCCAGGTTTTGGTTCAAAATATGCCATATAAGAAATTGAACTGCAATATATTTTTTGAAAAAGCATTCCTGGATATCTTAAGGAGAGCTCAGTATTCAGCTCAGGTTAAGTTCATTTACCATGGGTTACTATTTTTGCCTCTTGGGGAAATAGACGAAAAGAAAAATAATTTCAGAAACTTTTGTTACTAAATTCCATTACTTTCCCTATGATCAAAGACAGCATGATCTATTAATTAGTGCAATGCTTTTTTCCTTGTACAGTTCATACTTTTTTTGAAAGGCAGGACACGCGGCAAGCACAAAAGACAACATATGTGTAATGGTTCAAGGGGAGGAAGGGATGACGCTTGGCACAACATGCAAATGACATTCCCTCAGGCTGGACCACTCCTCGTGACGTCGTAGGGGCACCTCATCGGTAACTTAAGGCCGTGACTGGCGCGAGTGGTTCTTCGGGTGTATTGCACCAGTATCTCCTAAACGTGTCGTACGGAGTGCCGTGGAACTGGAAGGGTTGAAGAAAGGAAATGAGTGCGAACCTGCTTATCGATTATTTCATCATGAAATCTTTTCGAGAAATTGTCACATTTAGAGGCACAGCAGTAGATATGAACACAAGCTTTACTTAAATGACAAGGTAGGGCTAATAGAAGCGGAATGAATATCGGCAATCCAATTGTCAAAAGCAATGAACCATTTAAGATGCATCTGGAGTCACGATAATAAGAGGCGTTGGCGAGGGAAATATTTTTCTGATGTTTGTCCATTGATGTTCCAGATGTTTGAATTACCTCAGAATGACCTTGAAAGGAGCCTTTTAAACAAATTGGAACCTTTCAGGAAACTGACCATTTCTTCCCTTTTTCCATTCTCTACTCTCTCTGGATACATAATCCTGGAATCGTATTTTGCACTGCATGTAATATTGAAGATCACCTCTTTTTCGATTTGTTTGTAACCTATGTCGGTAGCAGATCTTTCGCCTAACCAGTTTCTTGCATTTCGATATCCGGTCCCCATTTACAACTACATCTAACTTGCATTTCTCGTCATTGTTATTGTCCACTTGAAACATTTTTCATGACGATGCTGAGAAAAGGGTATTAAATTTAGTAGGTTTCGGAACCCCTCATGATTTATCGGTGCTTTGCAGCTAGACAGCCTGAACCTAATCCCTGTTATCGGACGAAGTAGTCGCACTGGTGCACTTTTGCGAGAACCCCAGGAGACTTGATACAGGCAACTGGGCCAAGGAGGCCGTGTGACGCTGCACACACCCATTAGGGAATGGTGAGACCTATGCGTGAAAGACTACCGTGGAACTAAGAATGACGTTTTCTCTCCTTGCTGCTTTCAAGACAAATTGGCAACAACTAAACTACGAGGGTTGTTTACAAAATTCTCGAACGTTGTTCTATCACTGCAACGGCTGATCAAAGCCTATCGCAAAGTTGGTCGCACGTGCTTATGCTAGTCATGAACACGACAGCAAAGTATTATCCACTGGGCATGCTTCGATAAGAAGTTGTCTGTGTTCGCGCAGGGTGCACTTTGTCATGGGAGACGCGGGAAATTCTCAAAGAGCTATAATTTTCTTTTCATGGAAGGAAGTTGTCATGACGTCAAAAACTATTCAACGTGTGAAAGCTGTTTTTGGGGAATCTTCTAAATCTAAAGTACCGTCAATCGCTGGATTGATCGCTTTAAGATTGGAAGAACGAGCTTTGAAGATGACCCCTCAATGGTGGACCAAACATTACTGTTACAGAAGAAAATGTCGTCGCTGTGGAGAAAACGTTAATGGAAGACAGACGAATCACCATTCGCGTGATTGCAACAAGTGTATGCATCAGTTCCCGAAAGGTTCATTAAATTTTAAATGATCGTCTTGGAGTGAGCAGGTTTCTGCACAATGGATACCACGGCTGTTGGAGCTAGAAAATAATTTCAATCGTGTGCAGGTTTGTTACTAGTTGTTGGCTCTACAGGAACAATATGTGTATAGTTTCCGGCAACGAATCATCTCCACAGATGAGACCTGTATACCTTACCTTAATCCGCAAAAATATTTAGTCCATGGATTGGCGGCGACCTTCTGATGGCCCTCCAGTTGAAGCAAGGACTATGCCATTAGTTGGTAAAGTTATGATAACGGAGTATTGGGTTTTCCAGGAAATAATCATGATTGATTATCATCAAAAGCTCCCACTATAAATGCACAATATTACTATGATTAGCTGAAGGGACCCCTGCGTGAGGTACTCAAGAAAAATCGGCCGGAAAAGCTCCATTCCCGACCATTCCTGCAGCAAAACGATGCGAAGTCGCACAATGCTCATCTTACGAAGGCCGTTTTGTCAGATATGCTCAGGGAATTGTTGCCACTCCCACCCTATTCTCCAGACCTGGCTCCCAGCGTCTATCATCTGTTTGGGGAAGTGAAGAAACCTTTTCGAGGAATTGATTTTGAGTTTCTATATGTTGTTAAAGCAGCGACGAATGGGACTAGATAGAATGTACTCCGCAAAATTATTTGAGGATGGGACTAAAAAAATTAGTTACTCGCTGGTACAAATGTATGCAGCTAAATGATGATTATGTTGAGATATTACACCATGATATCAAAGAAAATCCACCTAATAAAAAATTAGCACGCAAATTTCCAGAACTTTGTAAACCTTTGTGACCACCCTTCGTATATCTTATACAAACTAAAAAATCACTAGGATATCAGTTCTCTCTCATAGCCCATGAACGCGGTCATTAAAGATTCTTCTTTTATCTATTTCCAGGGAATTCAAGATATACAAGAACTCCAGAGTTTTGAAGCTCCCTGTAGGAATTCTAGGGGACCTAACCCTGCAGTCCATATGGATAGGCATCACTACTGTCAGAAGTATCCATCCGTTGGTCATCCTCCCTTCCGAGGATCGTCTTATCAATTTCACTTTAC